AGAATATATGAATAGCACATTGGACTAGTCGAATCTCAGATTCGCCTAACAATTTTAGGCCAATCTAAGATTGGACTGGATATATTTGATCAATCCGAGAATGGCCTGAAATAGTGTTAGTCCAATCTGAAATTTCAGTTTCGACTAGGCCATAATTGACATCTAACATTGGCCTAGGCGAGTCTTAGATTGGCCTGAATCCGAGATTGGACGCTGACATATATAACTTTAATATTATGTTTGAAAATTCAATTATTTACTGCTGAAGATACATCATTCACAAAAGAGATGCGGATCCTTCAAAATATATGCAGTATCTATTCATGGGCATGCGGATGCAAATTAAAATTTTTCGATATATGACACTACTAATGGTAATGATATAAGCATAATCAATTTTCTACTAAAAAAAATGAATCCACAACACAGAATACATTTATTCTAGTAACCTGGCAGAAAATCACAACAGGTTATAATTGTTTTGTACTAACTACCATCCAGTTCTAATTGTTGTCTTGATCAAAAATTGTTATGCTACGCTATTAGTTATCAGTTTTTTTCTTTAAGCATAACTGAGACTTGAACTGTCATTGGCAGACAACTATCTGGCGTTGTGTCCCTAGGAATATTCCAAGCATGTTATTTTGATAGTTTTTTTAAAAGTCATTTGACGTTATTTACTAAATACAAACATGCATCGTTCAGGACACTGGTCACAGAGGCTCATGATTATGATTGAGCGATGCATTATTTTTTTTATATCAATAGAATTCTGGAATCATCTGCAGAATTGAAAAGTATTATTATTTGATTATGAATAAATTGAAGTCACACTATTTTACTTGATTATAATCATATTATAGACTAAACAAAACAATCTATATAATTTCAACCGATATCTTCTGAGATATAAAATCAACTTTATTGATGAATAATGTTCTTTGTTCATAAAATAAAAGATATTCTACCTTATTTTTAAATATAATCTTCATATTTATTATATCAAGACGAACGAGCTGTTTATTTTGGAAATAATAATGAAAGAATATTTCTCTTATAGATAAATAGAGAAACGCCTGATAGGATAACAGAATATACTTATCCGAACACTTTTTTCTTGAGCTACTTGGTAGAAATTTGTTGATCGTTATTTTTTAAAAATAAACAATTTTATGCATCCTTTTTTTATACGAACGAAAATTATATTTACATTTTTCGTGTTGTTACAATTAAAAGTAATAGTCAAGTAACAGCACTAGACAAGATAGAACAGTGCGAAAAAAAGTTCTGTCATCCGAACAAAAAAATATTATGTCCATGTCTTGAGTAGAAGTTTTCATTGTATTTTATCATGTTGAAAATCTGATTTTTTCAAGTTTGACATATATAGCCGAGGGTTGAATGACAACTTTTTCTCTTAGTTGGAATCCTTCTTCAGTTTCATCACTAGGTAATATTCGATATTGTTGAAGCAATTCAATTAAACACATTTTCAATTCCATTAATGCAAATCGCATGACTTTTAACTAAATGTCGTTCTGGTATGAAAAGATTTGGATCTTCTGGACCCCATAAGTCTGGATCATAATGAATACTGAATACATCGGGTTGAATAATACTACGTAAGACAAAAGTCAATAGTTGATTGTAAATTCATAGTTTTTATTTTTGATTGGCAGACCTTTTTCGATTGTGTGCCCACAAACAGTTGCATTTGTATTGCATTCACGTGCCATTGCTTTAACAGTTATGGGATAACATTCGAAGAACTTCGCGTAAAAGTAGATCTAGATACGGAAGAATATTAGCCATTTCATAGTTCTCTTTTGCATAATTTTTCCCCAATTATGTTAATTGATCTGTTCAGTAAGTTTATCTTGAATTTCAGGTCTAGTAGCTAGGACATGACTTGAATAAGCAAGCCCTAGACGAACTTGTTTTGGTCTGCGCAGGAGATACTTGAGAATCTTGATCAAGAAAATCATGCGCTATGGACAAAACTTGAGACCTTTCGGCGAGCTCAAGCTCTTGTCTTGAGCAAGAAAGTCGTGTGCTATGATGGACCAAACTTGAGGTCCGCGCATGTCCAGCGCAGAAAAAAAAGTTCGACTAGAGAGTGCTGTTGATGTTGTTTCATCACCGGCCACCATAAAAAGGAAAATATTCGGTATTAGTTCTTCGAATTTCAATACTTTCGCCGCTACATGATCATCGGCAGTATCCTAAAATTGACGAAAAAAATATCACTGTATAGTAATTATTTCTCAGTAAAAATTTCGAATATGCTATTGTTTAATGCAAAAAAGAGCGATTTTATCTCTTGAAAAATACTAGACATACTCATATGAGAGAAGACTTCAAGTTAACTAGTGATTTCTTCAAAACTATTTAACTTGAAAGTATTTTTATTAAAGATCATTGCCAATTCGACATCTGATTAGTAAAATAATCTATTTCACTCTTTTACGCTCGACAAGTATTGTTCTTGTAATCCTACAGACGTTCACGTATTTTAGCATGATTTATTTGCGTTAGTTACTGCTCTTGAACTAATGGAATCGGTCGCACTCAAACTTGAAACTCTTTCACCTATGAATAACTCAAATAAACGAAATATTGATCGTTTTACTCAATACCTTTTTACGTCATTTGATGTTTTTAAGTTTTCAGCATTCTTAGCGCTGTACAAAATTATGGTCGAGACTATAATGTTCAACATGTTTGATTATCGAAAATGATCTCTTAGATAAGGAAATATGTTGTTTACTATTCTTTCTAATATGTTTATTGATTTTTTTTTAACATAAAGAAAATACACTTATAAGAGAATGATATATGTAAATTACTCTTTACAATGAACTGATGTTCTCATCCTTGCAGCATTGGACGAAAAGAAAATAATCAATTCAAATATACGTATGTACCATCAAAGAAAGATTTATCATCTGTCGAAGAGATTCATGTCGTTAGCTTGCTATGACTGGATGGATCGTTGAAGCATCCATCATACGTTGTAATAAATCCACGCGTTCTTTCGTATTCGATGAAGATTTCACTCGTTGATTCACAACTTCTCGTACACGATTTATCAACCATAAACGTGGAAGTTCTGTTATAAAATTACTGAAAACAGGTGTCGCTTTAATTAATCGGCGACGAAATTCAGCGGTAGAAAATAAAATATCGTGTAGAGGACGTGCTAAAGAAGGAATAAAATTACTGAATTGCATCAGTAACATATGATCAGCATCTGTCTTAAAAACTTCCGCTGACTTTAGTAAATATGGATTATGTATATCATTTTGCATATCCGTATCAATACCAAATACACAACGACTTAAAAATACGTAGATAGCTAGTGTAAAAAAAATGTATATATCATTCAGATTGATTTACTTACAGATAACATCCATAGTCAATCGTTTGTATAATTCATACATGTTGATTTCTTTATGTTGAGTAGTCGTCATCGTTGATATTTTGTTTAACATAGCTTCGATACGTCCACTCACTAGAGGAGACATTAATTTAAGTTTAGCAGATGAAAATGTTGGATTAGTAGCATGCCGTTGACGACGCCATCTTGATCCAAAAGCTCGAAAAGATGAATTCGTTTGTCAGTTTCTATACGTAATATATTTCCTATCATACGTGAACGGAACGATGAGAATTGTTTAATAACATCGGAAACAACATACATGGGTGTTGTACCTATGAATAATCTATAAATGGAGCCATATTGGCCAGTCCATTCTTTTAATTGTTTTGACAATGATTTCGCGGACCATAACATTTTATAATGACCAAAAAAGAAACGATGTGCAGGTTCAGATATTCCACGATGTTTGAAATAATCATAACGATTATTGGTTGTCCATACGTAGAATGCAACAACACAGACAACAATAGATATCGGAATAATTGTTAAAAGCATTTTTTTCTTTCTAAAAAATAACGAGAAACCTTGATCGTTTATTTTTCAATTTCTCAGCGTCAACTAATGTATTGTGCTTTTTACAAGGTAGTTTATATAAGATAAAGCATGTTCTTTGCCATATTTTTCGCACATCATCGTGTGACGTTTACTTGTGTCTTAACGTAGAAACCGAACGAAAAATACATAAATCTTAAACCAAAGATTAAAAAAAATCGAGTCGAACTTAGATCAAATCGTATTTTGAATCATTTTATTACAGTGTTTTTTTTTGGTTTTTATTGTGTTGGATAGCATTTCAAGTTTTTCTGATAAAGGATCTAGTGAATACTCAACATATTTCATAATTATTCGATGTTATTATTGAGCTAATAAAGTAAAAATTTGGTTACAACTAGCTTTAATTTATCTCAGATTTATAGAAAATACATGATTATCGTTCATTATTATGTATCATAATATTAAACTATGTTAAGAAAATTTCAGAGTACTAAATTCTTTAGTTCAATTACTGTTAGTGAAGTTAGTCATATGCTCTGATACTTAAAACTAAGAAGCTATTAGCAGAGTTGATATTTGATAAGAAAGAATGATTCATTTCGTCATAGCTTCATTTCAATGACATTTTGTACACTCAAACACAGCGTAAATGGACTTTAAATATAATATTTAATTGACGGACTCTAATTTAGCAGTTGAAATATATAGTTTAGATAAAAAAAAATATGAACTGAAGCAATGTGCGTATTGAAAACCATACAATGAAATGTGTATTGTAAGAAAAAATAAACAACATGGCATTATTATAAGAAAATGCTTTTTTTTAAATTTCCTACAGTCCTTTCATAGAAAGTTATAAATCTGAAAACGTTTGATTAGGCATTCATACTTTTACTTGCTCATGCAACAAAAGATTTTACCTGCAACAAGTATGTCTCATGGCCATTCTCGAGGGTAAGAAAAGAAAGAAAAAAAGACCCCCTAAATCAACACATTTATGTAGTATCAGAGAAGAAGAAAGAATAAAATAAAAACTACTAAATTTCACATCGTTACATTTTACGTTGGAAGAAAAGTGCGATCAATATGGCGACGTCTACAACAAAGCACAAAACTAATAAAGACAAACCAGAAATACAGAATGGTCTTGCACTTGCTTGGCTTGATGATAGTGTTAGTCAAGATCCAAATGCGAAAGATATTTTTCGTTCACTTTTTGAACAAGTATTTATATTTACAGACCCTGGAGCATGTCTTGAAGTTGTTGAATCAGCTGACAGTGAAAAATCTTGTATATCAGTTCTAGTTTCGGGAAAATATGGTCAAATGCTCGTCCCAGATCGTTTGCAACCATTACCACAAGTTAAAAATATTTATGTTTATTGTTTTGATATCACTAAACATAATCAATGGGCACACAAATGTGACAAAGTTCGATGTGTTGACTCGGATTTGGGCAAAATATTTAAATGCATTCAACATGACGTACACAACATCATGAAACAACAATATCAATCGATGGATGATCAACCGGAACAAATGGAAGAACAAGAACAGCAAGAATTTGTAGCAACCGGACCAGAACGCTTTACGGTTGATAATAATTTCTATAATCAACTTGCACTTGATATTTTACTTAAAAACTCTGATGATGATCGTGATGATGATGACGATGATGGTGCTGTGGATTTCAAGAAATATTGTGAAACACATATGGGAAACAAAAATCAAGACCGAGACAAAGAAGAAATAGTCTACTTCCAACCTAACACACCTATTGAGCAATGGTATAAAGATGATCTATGTTTTCTTAATTTAAATTCTACTAATTTCACTCAATTATGGACACTACGTTGGTTCATAAGGTCATTCTATCGACAATTAACCAAGGAACATGAATGTTTTATGAATGATAAAACCACGATTAAAGTAGATTATGGTACATGGTTAACTACCGATGAACTAAATACCATGAAATTTCGCATTGGTGAAACTATTATTTTTACGGAATTTTTCAAATCATATGCAAGTCGACGCAATGCATTGGATTCAATAAAAAATGAAAAAACTGAAGAAAAAAATAATAAAGTTATATTCGAAATAAATGTTGAGAAAAATAATCGTACTGTTCCCTACAGTGAGATTCAAGATGATCTCGTTTTATTTTGGTTTGGATCTCGACATCGTATCATGAAAATTGAATATGTTGAAACACAAGGTGCACATCCCGATTCTTATTGGTTAATTGGTTTGAATCTATGCGCAACACTGGATGTACAGCAATCGATGAAAACTTTATATGGTTATTATCGAAAAAAATTAACAGATCTGAAAGATCGTCACTATGCATTTGGTCGAATTCTCATATATAAAGGTTTGTATTATGAAGCAGAAAAATGGCTACAGACCAACAACCATTATCAAGATTTAGCTGAATTAGCTATACGTCAAAACCAACTTGAACGAGCAAATCAATATCTTCAGCATTTACCAGAAGATTCCGATGATGCAAACCTCTTACGTGCTTATGTATATTTATTATCATCGCAAGATAATATTGCAAAGGGACGTACACTCCTAATGAAAATCGATTCAGATGCAACAGATAAAATGCTTCGAGCTCGTATTAGTATTGCTCTTGGTTTTGTTAATATAATTGGTTCACATCAAAACGAACCAGCGTTAGACTATTTTACCATAGGAAGTGAAGCACTATGTAAAATGTTACCTGATATCCATCCGGATGTTGCAAAATCATATATTGGAATAGGTTATGCACATTTTACTGGAAAAAATATCAAGGAAGCTGAAAAATGTTTTCAAATGGCCTTAATAATACAAAAACAGTCATTACCAAATATGCATCCCGATATTGCGAAAACTCGAAATGGTATTGCTCGTTGTCTGTCTGTTAAAAAGCAAACCGTTAAAAAAGCACTGGAAGAATTTCAACATGCATATAATATTTTAATGCATACATTTCCACGAGAAAATAAAAAACATCCGGAAATATCTTTAACTGTGGCTGATATCACCAAATTACGAAAAGGAAAGGAATTATATTCGAGCACTACATTACTGGATTATATTTAAAAATTATCAATCAACATTTCTATGTATAAAAGTTCAGAAATAATAGCGAAGGTATAAATGTAGACGTATGTTGACTTTTTACGTGCATAGAGTTTTACCAATAAATTATTGACTTAAGAATATCAATGAAAATTTTTCAACGAAAGCAATATGGGGAGATAAGATTATTTGATTATATCTACTTTTTGTATATTATATTGATCGAGTCTGAGATATATTTCAAGATTTGATTTTGCGATTATTTTTATTGGCATGTAGTTCAACTTTCTTAAAGCAAGTGTAATCTCGAAGATTTCATCATGCTGTGCCGTTTGAACGAAAGTATTTGCATGCAAACGTGTACATATGATATTTATTTCGGAAACAAGTTGATTTTGAAGAAAATATCCATGAATTGATTTGTTTTTATCATTGATGTTTCGAAAAATTCTTCACCAGACTTTTATTTCAATTTTTAGAACTGTCGTTGCTTGATTGATTATTTCCGTAGTATACTAGTGAGAACATCTACACAAGAGAAAAAAAACGAGCGAATACTCCTTACGTTCTTCTACTTATACATTACTCTATCCTTGACAGTATATTTTTCAGAGAAAAACAAGAGAAGCGATATACGTAGTTTTGGTTGGCACTGAGAACGCATCATTGATCATAACCATGTGCATGGCTCCTCGTGGTGCTCTACTCTCTTGAAGCCATAAACTTGAGTTCGCTTTGAATAGTTCATAAAGAAGATCGCACTAATTTAAGAGCACAAATCTTGAATTTTCTTGGATGTGACCTATTTTTTTCTATAATTGATGTATTGTTTGCATTTTGGCTATCTTATTTGAAGTACCAGATTGCGTTAACAGTCACGATACAATCGAGCTATTTAACGTTTACTTCAATATGTTCACTAGATCTATCTCAATGTTTCATTGATTTTGCCTTTACCTTTTTGTTTGATTGACCATACTGTGTATTATAATATAACGTTCTTGTCTCTTGTGTTTCGATTAGGATCTTCTGCATAGAATTACTATTGAATTAATTAATTCTAATTTTAATATTCCTGTAATAGAACTGCAAAAATTAATTTAATGCTTTGGGGTTTGTATTGAATAAACATGAGTGTAATAATAACTCGACTAGTTCCTAAAATAGGCCAAAATTATTTTGTTGTTTCAAGTTAATTCCCAAAAGAAAGCAAATCCGTTCTATTTTTGGAAAGATAAGTTTCATGACGAAACATTGTCAACCAGCTTCTAGGAAGCATAAGTGTTTGCACTAGACTAATGCTAAATTCATATGAATGTTGAAGCATTACATTATTTTTTAAATTAAAACAAGAAAGCATTCAGTTATTTCTTTAATTCTGACAAAAAAGGATTCGCATTTTCCTAACAATAATACTAAGACGGCACCCTTAATTTTGAGTATTTTTCTATGACAGAAATAATTACTTTGCTTTTTCTATGATACTATTAATAGAAGTATTCACTCATTCATTCTTTCATTCATTCATTCATGCACTTTGTTATCTGCAATTTTTTTCCTAATTAAACATGGTACTTCGTATGTCTTTGACATTATTCAGACAGTTATTTTTGTTAAGGATCAGTATCGGTATTTCTATCCGGTAAACTACTTGGTATTTCGTCAACTCGCTTTGATGTGTATTTGATAAGTTTTTTTGTCTCTTGAATTGCTTTCATCTTGCTGATTATCTCTTCCTTGAAGCTTACACGAAACATGAACTTGACTAGAAATAGATTATAATTCTCCAAATTGCACGCCCTACATGACGAGAATTTGTAAATTCGCGGCAATTTATTACATAGCTTGTTTAACTAATTGCTAGTGCCGTCAGTACCATTCTTTGTTAATATCAGAATGAATGAACGGGATTTTTACGCACTCCTTTTTTCCTACGATTATATTGCACATGGCCGATTTGTTTGACAATCAAAAACTGAGAAATTCTTATCTGATTGTCCTAGATCGATCAGCATTGTATTAAACTCAGAATGTTGTGCATTATTAGATGTTATAATGTGCCTATTCTTAAATGGAATTTTATCGTCAAAATTAATGTGTTCTCATCAATTATACATTTAATAATTGTATGTATAGTGTATGATATGAAAATTTCGAATAACTGGATAATCGCTTCTTGTACATTTAAATTAGTCTTGTAATAGGCTGATATGAGAATAGCAGTGGCAAGTTTACCTTTCATTTTTGTTGCTTTTTATATTGATGCATTTTATTGTACTTTTTCTTACTGGAGCCATGTATAACACAAAGTATGACTTCTCGCGACTACGAGCACACTCAGAATATCGTCCACACCTGTTATGTAGTCGTATAGTTATATAGAATCATTTCTTCTGTAATATTTAATATGTGAATTTAAGGAAAATGCTAATAGTAGCGTTTTCTCTCGTTATGACTCCCTTATTTTATGTTTCTCATAAGTATCTAGAACATATATCATCTATGCTTAATGCGTGCTCTTGATACAAACGCGTATTTTAGCGACCTCTTTCACTTTGATGCAATTTGTTCTAAAGATGACACGAATAAAAATCAAGTAGTGTGACTTAACTAACTAATCAAACTGTTACGTTTTATTTTTCTCTGAAGTTATTTTGTCGCCACTCGTTGCATTACCGTAGATACATAAGCATATTCGTATACGTGACGATTTGTCTTAATTATTATTTTGTTTATTAAAAAGAACTATAAAAATAAACAATCGTTTTTTTGCCATTCTCCCACATTTCCCTCCTGAACAACATTCCTTGTTTACGTTTTTACTTAATGCACTCGATTTGTTTTTAGTTTTAAAAATAGCTGTGATTCAAAAAAAATGAACGCATAGAAGTATGTCTGGACAAGCACCATATATGTCGGCGCCTCAATATGGTTATCCGACGGGTTTTCAGCAGGTAAATTTGAAAGAATTTGACCGTCACCCAAACGAAAATCGTTCGTTTTTCTTTCTCTAGCGTGATGTACGTTATCCTGGTGGTCCGGCTGTTGAAACAGCTATGGGAATCAACCGACGGCCATCATTACTTGCGGGATACCATGGTCATTTTAGTAGTCCAGAAAGGTTTATTGTTCAATTGTTAAAAGATTCCAACAAAAATGTCGATTATTTTTCCATTTAGAGCTTCCATGCCTCCCTATTTATTTTCTTTAACAACTCCTGTTTCAATGGGACCACATGTTGATGAACATTCAAAACGATCACGCTATCCTTCTAATATTCCATTACTAATTGATGTGAAACAGGTTTCTTTTTTTTTTATTGATAATGAATGATTTATTTATGTTTGAAAATTTCAGGAGCAACCTTTATACCAGCCTCAAACTGAAGCAATTTCACCAATATTTGATGAAGCTAAAATTGATTCACATATGAGAGATACAACGATAATACGTAATTCAATATCAAAACTTGAATCCGATATTGAAATAACAAAGAAAAAACTTGGCCGAGCTAAACTTAGTCAGGTAGCACTAACAAAAGATATTTTTCCTATTTACATGGTTTTTTTTCTTGTATTGACTAGAATGAAATACGAAGTCAAGCTGATAGATCAGCTGCTGACGAAGAAGAAACCAGTGACCAAGATGACCTACTTAAAACTAATGGTTCGCAAACACTCATCGAAAAAATTCTTCACGATAATAGAGTAAGTTTTATTATTATTGTAAAAATTGAGTTTTGAAAAACGTCATACTAGATAGTTTTTATTTCTCTCATTAAGTTTCGCTATTACTAAAGATAACAAAAAGTGCATCTTCAAAAATAATGAAAGAGTATCAACGAGTACCAATTTTTTTTTTCTTTCCTATAAGTACCTCAATTTTTCAAGATTGTTTTAGGCATTATAGAGTATATTCGTGAAACATTTAAAATGGAATCATAATCAGATCAGTATCTCCCTAAGGTCATTTTTAATGGCTCATACCGATTTACAAGAAATCCTAAAGCTAAATGAATGCAAATTTCTGTAGGATGGCCGTGAAAATTTAAGAGAGGATTATTTTAATTTGACTTACATGCTTGCAAAATCATCTTATATTTGTGTCTTCTCATCTATCGATAAAAGTACCCACTCGAGTTCAATATTTTCCTTGTTGATGAATAGATCTATTCATGTGGAAAACTTCAACAAAAAAACATCAGTCTATTAACAAACATCGCGTGATAGTTGAAAATTTTAAAAGAATAAAAACTTACTCCTTGAAATTTTGAGCACTTCTTTCAGTGACCCTGACCTGTACCGAATACATCTTTATTTTGTATAAAATGGAAATTCGTTTTCGATTTGCATTAGTTTAATTGTATAATGTTTTTTTTTCCTTCCATTGGAACTTTGATGTTTAGTAAGTAGACTTAGTATGGCTTCTTCCTTTTTTTTATTACTGAATCTTAATCGAATATATCTATTGAAAGTAAATTGATATGACGTTTGTTGTAAAATCTCATTTGAGTTAGTTTTGAAAGAAAAAACTCAAAGTTCATTCGAAACCAATAGTCCTTTGTCTAGATGTTGAAGTTGCAATTGAATTCAATGTCTACGGTTAATGACAATTTTTTTCAAAAATTTGATATCAGACTAGACTAACATCGCTGTCAGTTGAAGACTTCCGACTAGTCATGAGAAGTCATTTTCTAAGAATCAGTGAATCATTTCTACAGACGACTTCAAAGTTATCTTTGTGAAAATTAATAACCGTAATTTCCTCGGTCAATCTTTCTTTTTCGAACATGAACTGCGTTTTTTCTCTTTAGAAAAAAGCTGAAGATAGTCAAAAAGTTTTAAATCAATTGAATAATAACATGGATTTAACAATTCCATTCTATCAAGAACCGAATGATCTTGAATCAATAGAAAAAATTCGAACACAGTATGTTTGTATTTTATTTTCTGAATTGATCTTAAAATATTCTATCATTAAGATATATGAGTGTCATGAAAAATCGCCTAATAAATTTATTAAAAAAGAGTCGTGAACGTTATATGTATCGAACGAAATTCGAAAGTGAAAACTACGACCAATCGTATCAACAATGGCAAAAAGCAATTGAAAAAGAAGAAAAAGCAATATTAGCAAAAGATGGAACGACCTATCGTGATACATTTGAAAAAACTTTTCCTGAACTACGAAAAGCCCGTGAAGATAAAGAGAAAAAGCAATCAACATTGAATACAAATGATTCATCATCATCATCATCATCATCATCATCATCATCAAGTGAACCACAGCTACAACTACAACAGCAACAACAGATAACACCGAATATAAATTCAATTGAACAAGAAAATGAAGATGAAACAGATGAAAAAATGCGAAAATCATCTGTTATACCACCTATAATGTACGATAGTTGGCAACGTAAACATCAGTATTTCAATCAGAATGGCTTGGTCAAGGGTGATGCAGCAGTATTTTATAAAGAACATACCAAAGAGCCGTATTGGACCCCTGAAGAAAAACAAATATTTATTGAAAAATTTACTCAATCACCAAAGAATTTCGGTTATATATCATCATTTCTTGAAAATAAAACAACGGAACAATGTGTAAAATTTTATTATATGACGAAAAAGAGAGAAAATTATAAAAATCTCTTACGAAAACAAGCGCAAACTGGTAAACGTAAAACAAAACAAAATACAACCACAACAGTTACATCGTCAACAACAATCGAAACAACTTTAGTTACTAAAGTTACTTCAAATACTATTATTTCATCAACATCACAACAAATAATTGCATCAGGACAAGTGTGTTTTCTTTCTTTTTTTCTTCTGAATATTTCATTTAAAATACAATAATTTTTATTGAAGGATATTGATCGTTCAATAGATCGCATAGACAAGTAAGTTTCTCATTGAAAGATATTATTTATAACTTACTAACATTGATATCGATTACTAAGCTATTCAATTTTCTATGATGAAATATTGTAAGGCATAATGTTGATTTCCGGTCTATTAAATCGGAAAAGCTGTTAGTAAAATCCCTCTGGGATTTGCATATGAAGTATGATATAACTGTTATTACTAATCGATAGCCGGTTGGCTTATTCTATCTCTACAGGCAGCAATATATTTTTATCTAAACATTTAATAAGATCGTGCGTCGGATTTTATTAGCAGGGAGACACCAGCGGGCATACAAAACTCTACTTTTATATTTGAACATGGGCTTCATAGTACGCTAGATACTGCTTTACAACTGTCATCGCTATAAGGAAAAAAAACATCCATGTATGGCTCGAAAAATTTGGAATAAAATATTTACTTTTGTTTTGTTTGATTAAAGATTACGTATTAGAACCAAGATAAATACTCAGATTTTCATTTTGGAGAAAGATTGGAAAAATTTTATTGATTTGTTTTGAAAGACAGAAACTAATGCTTGCAGAGGAAAACTCTGTGCCATTTAAAGCGTTAAACCGTTCCACAGAGTAAAGATTACTATTTCTTTACACTTTAGAAAAAATTAAAATTTTGGCCAGTAGTGATTTCCATGTAAAATAGCTCTCTAATGGTGACAACAAGATAATTTTTCGTTTGTTTCGAAATCCTAACATGCCGATGACCTGAAATCTTTCCAAAGCGTAAACTAAAAACTATGGAAAACAACTGTGTACGTGCACGCCTACTTGATCGTTGTTGAATTGTTTCACAGTGATTGAGAAGTGAAGTAAATGAAAATGAGTACTCGATTCAATTGAGACATCGATATTTCGTTTTCAACTAAGTTTTTAAAGTACGAGCTTATCAGAACAATAAAATGCTGTAGAACTATTAGAGCTTCCATATATATAAATAGATATATTCGAAGCTTTCAGGCTTGCCTATCAAAATAAACAATTAAATTTTATATAGAGAAAAGTTTTTAAGGATTATCTCTGTACCTATTAGATATTCTCATAAATAGGTCTGGAATCGTAAATAAAATCGTACTTTTTGTATCGAATGATGATCGAAAATTTTCATCTCATGAAACCCTGATCGGAAGAAATAGAATAACTAAGAAGTAATAGTCGTGTATGCTAAATTTTAAGTGAATTATTAAATTTAGTTTTCAGAACTAAAATTATTTTATTTATATTCTTCTTTTTTTTTAATTTTCAGTGATGATGAACGACGTGATAAAGGTATGTAGAAATTCTTTATTTTATTCGTACATTCGAAACAGTCCAATTTTTATAGATTCCGGTGAAACCAACGAAGAAAAACGTTCAAATAAAAAGTTAGCAACAACTCATTTTGTGTTTGTTCTGTTTTTTATAACAATTGTTTTATTTATAGCCGATGTCAATTATTATCTTGTACAACAGAAAAAGCTAGTAAAAAGAAAAACCGTAAAAATCGCTTACGTGCGTTTCCACCAAAATGGAATGAATTATCAAATGAGCACCAAGAAGAAATACGTCGAGTATTACGTAAATATCTATATTTTCCGTTGCTGATTATAACAAAACAACTGAATTTGTTTTGTTTTTGTTTTATTTAGAAATTCTTCCAAATGTTCAACGTTGTTGTACACGTTGTTATGACAAATTAATTAGTGAAATACGTCAACGAAAAACAAATCAATCATTAGGAGGAGAAGAAGATGATGACAATGATGAATCAGCAATAATTGCTCATCAAAAACAAGAAGAAGGTAATATAGCATAAGCTTACAATCATAACATACTCTTATCATAAATCCCAGTTGAAACAAAGTGCAAATAAAATAAAAGTCTTTGTTACCGCAGCGCACCAAAGCACGTGGTTTAAAACTTTAGTAAACTATGAGACAGGCTTAGTACTACTTTTAAGTATACCATTTGAAATCAGTATCTTGCAAATATTTTTATGTTCTATTTTTTTTATCGACTTTGAAGTAATTTCATTTGTAGTCATACTGATACGCCAATTCATCTGCCATTAAGATGTTTTTCGACTTCATTTTATGAGGATGAGTAGGTCTAAATAAGACAAAAAGAAGCTTAAAAGGATTAAAATCTAAAACCAACTGATAAAAAGTAATAGACGTCTTAATGAAACCTATACAGAGACCAGCACATTGCCGAAGAATTGAAATTTACGAATGTCAGAGGAGTCTTTTTGCGAGTAGACAAATTTAACAGTCAATGAAAATGATACCAAGTTTCCGAATATATTGCATTTTGCATGAAAAATTAATTGTCATAGAAGAATATTGAATATTTGAAACGTTTTTCGTTCGCTTTTCTTGAGTATCAAACGAGTTAAGAGCAAAAAAAAATTTATTTATCAATCTTTTGACGATACTTTCTTCTCGATAGAAATTTTCATTCAAATAGCCATAAATCGTTGTCGATAGACCACCAATCCGGATCCTCTTAAGTTTTTCGTTTTATCGGAGCCTAGTATATGTGTGGAGAAGTGGCGCATTAACATTTATTACAACCGATTAATATTTAACTAAGGTAATCGTTAGCATTTAAGAGGGATCGATGTGATTCGAGAATAGCAATTGCTAGCTATCCACAGTTGAAACAGAAAAACTTCAAGCATCCTCATATCTATTTCTATAGGTAGTATTATCAGAAAATCGATTATTCCAAAATCAAAAAAACACGCTCGAAAGCCAAGTTTAATTCCAATGCAATGGGGTAGGAAAAGTACTACCTATAATTCTTCTTTGTCGAGTCCGGAGAAAAAATAAATCATAAGCTATTACTATTGTCAAATTACATCAATTATTTTTTTGTCGAGCATTAACGAATTTTATTTATAATGAAAAGAAAACTTTAATAACTGCTATTTTTTTTCTCGTTGTTTTTCGAAGAATGGAGTAAAACCGAAATTGATGCATTTACTCAAGCACTCAATAGATATAATCATGATTGGGCTCAAATTGCTGAATATTGTCATCGTAGTGTGGAAAACTGTCGTGAATTCTATTTAAAACACTTGAAAAATATATCACCTATTGATGTAAGAAATTTCTATTGAGAAAAATCAAGAAATGTTCATCTGTAAATTTTTTTATTTAGCAGAATATTGATGACGATAACGGTAGTATATCAGGTTCAGAGTTAAGTCAAACAAAGCAAATAAACGATGATAATCAATTAAAAACAATAAATGAAGATAGCAATGATTCAACACACGGGATGGTAATCGATGAAGGTGAAGACCAATCATCTACTACTGAAGAGAAATCTTCCAAACCAATGCCAATAGCAGCACATTTAACGACAATAACATCACTGGTTGAAAAAGAAATATCAAAAACATTGAGTGAAACTGAAAAACGTTCATTAAGTAATGTTACTAATAATAATGCCAATAGCAATACATCACCAGAAAGAATAATTAGCAATAGTAATGATAACAATAATCCTGCTCAAGCACCAGCACCGCCGCCGCCGCCACCACCACCACCACCACCACCACTTATTACAATTAATAAGCCTCATTCGCCAGTGACACATTATCAATATTCATCTCATCCACAGCAAGCATTTGTAAATAAAGGTTCCATTATGCGTGGAACACCTATAACGTCCACGACACCAACAAATAAGCCAATTGCTATTGATATATCGGCAGCACATCCTCATGCTCATCCTCATCCTCATCATTATAATAGTTCAAGAAATGAATATTCACATCTTAAATCGCCGAAAATATTAGATCGAAGTATTGAACATCAACAACAACACCAACTCCAACACCAGCAGCAGCAGCAGCAGCACCAGCAGCAGCAACAACAACAACAACAACAACCACAGCAGCAGCAGCACCAGCAACATTTGCTTCAACAGCAACATGCAGCTCATATGCGCCAGTATGGTCATCAACAACAATATTTACAACAACAAACACAGCAGCAGCATAAAACTTTAGCAAGTAAAATAGATCCATCAAATACAGGTACACTGGAAACATTAAGGGCTGATTATATAACATCAAAATATCTGACAACTACACATTCACCAAGTCACGAACGGTAAATTTATGAAATATTTCTGTTCATTTAAACATTGATTAGTCTAGTTTATATGACTAGATGGTCTATCATTCATAGTTTAATATCAAAACAAATTGAATTATTTCATAATGTTAGAGAATGATTTAGAAGCTTCCTATCCACCTAGAAATAAAAAATATTTTCCCTTGTCGATATCGACATCTTCGGATACAATTTATGACATTTAACACATGTTCTTCTTGGATTTGTCATCATAGAAATTATGAACAACAAGCATAAAAATCATGTTCCCGGATCTGTTTTATTAACAAATAAAAGTGGTGAAATTTAGAAGTCTAAATGACGATTTTCTTGTTAAATAGTGATATTATCAACTTAAAAATTTTGAATTGGTCAAAACTATCAACCAACGAAGCGACCAATCTGATTTTTTTTCAAAGATAAATATTCCCCTGACAAAGAGTTGTTCTTAGAATATACGTATCGTGTGCTAGAACGTTGTTACTCGACGCATTCTATTAGAAGTACAATAAAGCTAAAAATACAGACATGAACTACATACGTCATTTTCAGTCGAACTGCGTCGACAAGTTCGTTTTCTTATTCAATTGAATTCTATCTATTTTAGTCAACATCGTGGTGGTCCTGAACAAGTTTCTTCTTCTCAAATATCTCCACCTATGGGTCAATCATTGCTTCCACCACCTGCTACGATTGCTGCTCCTGGTTCAAATGCGTCTGTTCCATCATCACAACATCATCATGCGCAACAAGCTGCGATGATAACTGCTTCGCAATTACTAGCTTCTTCAGGCGTATATCCACAAGACTTGCTATCTAGCAGTCTTTTACCATATGCGTCATATTATGGTTCACCACCGTCGAATGCACCGTTCTTATTTGATCCACGTTTTATGCATGAATATGCTAATGCTGCAGCAAATAATGAGCAATTGAAAGGTTTTTAAAACTTTTGTAAAATATAATTAATATTCATTTTTATTATAGCTGAACATCATATAGCAGCGATGCGTCTAAGTCGGCATCATCATCCATCTTCTTTACATGGGCATTCACCGCCGGATTTAACTTACTCCTCGCAATCTTCAAAACGACATTCACATGATATAGGATATCCAACAAATGACTATCAAGCATCTATGTGGCATGCACAAAATATGAATAATTCTCAAGCACAACAAATAAAACTTCATCCTGGAGTAACAGAAAGTTCATTGTTAAAAGTAAATGAATTATCTCGATATTCATCAGCGCATCCAACAGAAAGAAATAGTCGGTAAGAAAAATACATGATAAAAAAATTTCAATTAAAGAAAAAAGCGCAATCCCAGTTTTCGATGATCAATATTTGAATTTATTGGAGTAAAAAACATGTTGTTAACAATTATTTTATGTAGATCACCGGATGATTATCATCATCATGTAAATCCATCACGTAATTCTGCTGAAAGTCCCTCGATTCATTTTCAACGTGTTGAAGCTCATAATCATCATGTATGTTTAATGATAAGAGACGGAGATAATTAAAAAATGTTCATAATATATTTATTTTTTGTTCCTATTAGAAGCTATCTCATGATAAAACAAATCCAAATTTACATTTTTCTGATCATTCAACAGATGGAACTTCGTTAAATTATATAAGACAACCTCCTAATGTTCACAAACCTCAAACAACTCATCACTCACCTCATCGTCATCATCATATTAGTACGAATTCAAATAATCGTTCATTAGTACCGCCAATGCATAATTCCCAGATTTCACCTCATCATCCAGCTTATTTGATGCATGGCCATCATCATAATTCAATTGATTCAATATCACCTCAACGACAACAACAGCCATCACCTCATCATCATCATCAACCACACTATTCACAGCAACAACAACAACAACAACAACAACAACAACAACAACAACAACAACGAGCATCCGATCATAATGAATCCTCAATCAATTCCAAAGAATCAATCTCAATTCAAGAATTCATGAATAAGAATGTGAATGATTTTGTTAGTTCAACAAGTAAGATAGTTTCTATATTGACTATTTGTTTCCGTAATATGTATATGCACTAAATAATTCCATCGATTATTTGACTAAAGTCATCATGACCTTTTCGATAGCACTCCAATAAAAAAGCAATTATGTCTTCTATACAAGTTCGACTTCGACAAATCAAATTAGCTTGATTTATTATAGTCTTTGATAAACTTATTTTTAGCTTAAATGCAATCCTTGTTTTATGTTCCCAATAAGAAAACAAACAAAAAAAAACATTTTTTGCATTGATAATCATTATTAGAATAAATTTGCTTGTTCTTTTCTTCAATTTTATTTTTATCGTCTAGGCGTGAGTAATCGGTTAGGAATCTTGTTTAGCACGTTCTTCCATTCTATTTTATCGTAACAAAAAAAAGTTATTATTACTTTCATGTCATTCATAATTCTTAAAAGTCATATACATGCTATTATTTTAATCCTACCAATAATTTTTTCTATTCATTCCTTTTTTATTATAGTAAAACATAAGTAAAAAAAACCAAATCATTATAACATCAACAGCCTGAGTTTTTATCCCGTGTTTCAGTAGAATTAGAAAGTAAACCTAATGATTAGACCATTATGAAAACTATAATACGTCTCGTAAAATGCTGACCACTTTATGACGTGTATCAGTCACTCCTTGAATATGTTATTCATCAGTATTGACGTTAAGCTCAAGAAACTTCAAACAGGAAACTGACTTTCTTCTGCGACTTATATCTAATAAGAGTCCTAATAATAGATAGGTATCTAACCCAGAAGTAGCTTCAAGCAACACTCTACATTGAAAAACAATCCAAAAGAGAAATCATTTTCATTTTTCTTCTTTATATCAAATTAGATTGTTCGCTGGTTAGATATACACAAAGCGAAGTAGTAATTCATGTGTTAGAATTATATTGCAAAACAATCAGTTTTCTCTACAGAGCAAAATAATAAATCATTTCTGAGTCATGTTGACCTTCTTGCTAGTTATATATATATATATATATGTGTGTGTGTGTGCGTGTGTATTGTGTAGAATATACTTCTAACTTGACATATTAAGATAATGATAATAAAACTTCAACTAACGATTTATCATCATACGAGCCCCATAATAATCAATCAGCCCGCTCTCATCAAACAAATGTAAGTTGTATTTTTAATTTAGCTCATTACTGAGCACATTAATTAATCCTAGAACTCTGATCAACCAATTTTAATCGATGGTGATGATGATTCAAATCCTATAGAACCGACTGATACAACAAATAAATCAAATACAGACAGTGGAATGTTTGAACGACGTCGTGATAGTTCTATTAAAAAAATCCTTTCAAATCAGCCCTTAGAAAAACAAGAATATGTTGGTAAGAATCAAAGTCCATAATAAACATTTTTTTAAAAATCATTGACACTGTTTTCCTTAAATAGAAATTAATCAAAAGGTTCAAAATAGTTCTGCTCTAGCATCCAAAGTACATGCAACTAATGATCAGACTGGTGTTGAACGCTCTAATACATCTAGTGACCGTAAGTATTTTATAGGAAAAAATATAGTTTTCTATTTTTTTTTCTTCTCAGTTACAAGATCTCGCGGTTCAATAACAATGCGTATGTTAATGGGTCAAAATGATATATATGCTGATGGTAAAGCTCAACCACCAGCATCTAATGGCAAGAATGAACTTAAATCGTAATGCTTTTCTTATTTTATGTAACTTATATAGAAACTCCATCAACTAAACGTGCAGCATCTCCCGCAATTGATAAATGTGAAAAGATCGAATATTTAATTCGTGATGCACTTGATCGTGCATGCCCGGTACTGATTAAACGTGATGGTAAATATAAAACCACGAAAAGAAAATCAATCCATTATTTGCATCCCTTTTAGAAGCAATGACGATATTTCAAAAATCATCGCCAAACCAACAGACACAGCAAAATTCATCGAAACGATTACGGTATAATATAAAATCGAATACTTAATTTTATATTTGCTTCTTGATAAAATTATTTCGTTGAAAATGACTTTTAATTCGAGAAACGACTGAATATTTTCCCCTATGGCCTTTGTTTAAAGTAAACCCAATGGTTCAATCACAAATGCTACCGGATGCTGGATTTGACTCGAACATTCTTTTATCGTTGTTAAAAGCACATATCTAACTTTGTGGATGAATCGGATAAATCCTCACCGGAAAGACTCTATTTCCCGGGTAGAAAATCACGTAAATGACAGGAAGCTGGTGATCAGGTTTGGTTAACCCAAGTCGATAATGACGGAAGTCGAAACCAGTTGTTCCCTAGGTTGAGAAGGTTCCGTAGTGCTTTTATTCATACGATTTCATGTCATTGTTCGGTATGTCTGCATACAGAGACAACTTTCTATCATTTCAGTATGTTTTTAGTAAAGGACATGGTTATATAAATGTTTGAATTCTAATTTAACTTTCTACCTCTGTTTTCATCAGAAGATATGTTGCTTAAAATCTTGCATTAAATAATATCACTGATTTAATTAATACATATGCCGCAACTTCGTGACTAACAATCTATAGGATGCTCGTTTTTTTTTGCCAAGGAGTGTTTCTTTGAAAAGCTGATACACTACGATCCATGACAATCTAAACTAATTGCTTGATAAAGTCAAATACAGAGTACTTTTTTTTCTATAGTATATTTATTAACCTGCCAAGATTTTTCTTGTTCTATTAATTATATAATTCTGACTTGTCGCATTTTTCAGCCAGTTCTTTAAATTAACAGTATCACTGAACTTAAAATGGTGAAAAAGAAAAAAGAACAGATAGTTATTTTTACTTGCAGAATCACGCAAGCGTGATTTATCGATTGAATCAATAACTGCTTTTATCATGATATTTCATATCATTATGAAAAGCAATAAAAGATAAGTAACTGTCATGCGACTACTTTATGGCACTACATGTTTCTTTTGCATGCTTGAGTAGCTTTATTTTCTGAAGATTCTACTGACAGCTGGGAATCATTAAATTCTTGCAAAATAATAAGAATTCGAATAAAAAGAGTTTTAAGTTCAAATAAAAGAGTTTTTCACCATGAATATACAAAAATAATTTGCATATCAATGATAGCGTGTGCAATACGCGATGGCAAACATGAAAAAAGAGACAGTTAACTCATATTGTGTCGATTTATCACACTTGAGTGTTTTTAGCAATTTTTTCTCGACTATAGAAATTCTTCAAGACCATTATACGATAGTAATAGTAGACGTCTTGTTCCAATAGGTTGTTTTCTAAATTTATTGATTTGTTCATTCTTTTAATTAGGCCATCACCAAAAGATGAAGAACAACGTCACTCATCTTCTCATCCAACTCATGAATCGCCAACAAACACACGAGATCCATTTGCTTTACAACCTCCATCGAAAAATCAACATCATCAATTAACATCGCCAGCGCAAGGAAATAAAAATTGGCAAACATATGTTCAACAACATTATCAGTTAACCAATCCTTATTCATCACAATTTGCTTCTCGGTCATCACGCCCGACAGGTTCAATAACCCAAGGTAGTCCTGTATCATCGTCCTTACATTTATTGCCGGATCAACAGCGATATTCATCAGCAACTAATAATCAGCTTGTGAATCCACGTTATTCCTGCCATACGAATAAAAGTAATTTGATGTTATATTTTTTTCACGTCTCTATGTATGTTTTTTGTTGATGATATAGATGATCAACAATCTTCGTCATCAGGCCAATTATCAACATCACCAATTGATAATTCACCTAGAGGAAAACTTTTTCGAAGAGCAAATCAGGTATAATTTTACCACAGATCATCAGTTTCGAATTATGCTTGACTTCCTTTTTATATATTCTTTATTGGGTGTAAATGCGCCACCTTTCTATCTCTTATGTATGATAGGTTAAATTTTGAGTTTTTCAGATAGAAAAATCTGTAGAAATGTATTGCTCGTGAATGATAAGATTATCATTTCTATTGCGGTCAATGTTACCTTTAGCTATGAAAACGAACTTATCAAAAACTGTAATGATTTCAGTAAAGTCTCATAGAAAAGCTTTCGCGGATAGATTATCGTACTGTAATATATCAAATAGATTATAGAACATGTAACATCGAAGAGTTGACATTTAAATTTTCCTGTTCAGACAAACTTGTTCAAAGATTATCCTAAATTGAATCTTGAAAAAAGCTTTGTAAAACATTGATAAATCAAACAAATCATATTGATGTTCTCGTCACCTTTTCCTAATATGTACTTGAATTGTAAACAGAATTTTCTTCCAAACATTTCTTACTGTTGCAAAAGATCAACAAATTTCGTAATTTATTTCTTCGTAACTTAATCAATTTTGTCCTGGATCTTCTCATTAATAGAATTCGGTTACGGAATGATATCTACTTGAAAATAACAGTTAGTAGCCAATCATAAACTATGACTCTCATTATGTACTGTCAGCATAGATTAAATGCATCTATAGAAAAATTCGATGAATTAGAACGGTCATTACTCTTCACATCCACCCCTCCTACACTCTAAAAACGTTTTTGTATACTATGCTTTTTTTAGGGCTAAATATACTTTCAACTTTCATCTAAACTAAATCATTTTGACGACACTGACCTAGACAAAAAATAAAAAATAAATGAATCTTGAACGATTGCGAGAAATCTTTTCGGCCCTCATCTTTACCATAATTCATAGGAAGAAACTTATGGAAATTCTGAGCCTATGATAAATTTTGTGTCAGCCAATTTTAAGATATCTAATAAAACAAACCAATGCTCTCGGATAAATTCCTATGGTCTTTAACAGAAAGCTCCATATTTCAGTCTCATAATACTTAACTCAAATGTTATTCTTTGATTTAGACGTATTCATCTCCAACAGACGCTCAACATGAGCCAACAAGCGGTGATCATTCATTGAGATTAAAAAGTTCACCTACTAATCCTACACCGACTGATACGAGTACTAGTAATACTCCTCCAATAGCTACATCGCCGTCACTGGCAATGCCATCTAATAGTGCACATCCACTTAAAAAACGTTTAATAAGCGAATATGAACTTGAACAACAACGAAAGTCCCCCGTTATACCGACTCCAACAACTACATCTATAGAAAAAAGTGGAACAACAGAAGAATTAACGAATACTTCTACTTTTGACACTCCAAAACATAATGCAGAAACTGTTTCTAATGCTGAAGTAACTGATGAAGCAGCTCGAAAATCTCTAGAAGAAACTGGCGATGCAACGTGAATTTACTCTTTGTTTTTTTAATCTCTTGTAAAAGTATTTTATTTTTTGCTCAATCAACCGGTCGTTGCCTCTTGTTTTTGTGGTTATTTATTTATACGTAGCATGGGAACAGTGAACAAAGAAAGGCAAAAAACAAGAAACCATAAAATTGGCGATCCTTTTTTTCTGTATATGCGTCTCTTTTGTACATGGCGTGCATGTTTAAAATTACACAATAGTGTTTTCTTTTTGATGTATAAAGAAAAATAAATATCGAAATTTTTATTCTACTATTCTTGGTATGTATGTATTTCTATGAGTTTTTTTCTCTATAAAAACAAAGGCTCGCCTTTTTGTTGTTATTATAATTGTCGAGTTATACTTATTTCTTTTGTTTTTTGTTCTCATTTATTCGGTTCTACCAGAGTTGATGTGTATCGAATTCGTACACATGTATACAGACAATTTTTTTTTCTTCTTTTGTTTGTTAAAAAATTTTTCTCTCTGATTGATTGTTGTTCTTTAAAGAAACGTTTTCTTTTTTCTCTTCTGTATCGTTCGTCTATTCAACATTTAAATAAAAGAAATTTTCGTATTTTAATTGACGACTTAAAAAAATATTTCCTTATGGGCCAATAGATATTTAATAGTTACATAAAATATTCTACGCATTGAAGTAATTTTACTTTTATTGAAATATATAAACAAAGGTCGGAAAAGTTCTTTAGCAAGATTTCGAACACTCAAGCGCCTTGCAACTAAAAGAAGTACCAAAGTACAATACATATCTGTTCAACTGAGTTTTGCATAGCATCTAAAGTAATTTAGCTGCGAGAATTTACAGGGTTCACAAATACAAATGTGTTTATTTTTGTAAAGTATTATCATGAAAGAAAATTCTATTATCTCAATCTCAAACGTTGTTCTGAATTGATTTGGAAATAAAACAGCAAAGACTACAAGAGTACATAAGATAAATTACATTTGAGGTATACTTGTAACATCATTTGATTGATTTTCAGTGTTTCCGGTTTAATTGTTTGTCAAACAGCAAGAGAGAGAGAGAGAGACGTCCATTGATGCCATGATGGCATTTGCGAAGTACGTCTGCTTCTACATGAAAAAACGATACTAATAGCAATGGAAAAAAAGTACATGTGAGGCCTTAGGGAAGAGTACAATTGAACTAAGATAACTTTTTCGAGATGTTTTTAATATCATACTTTGTCTCTGTTTTCAGTGAACGTCACGTTTTCTCTTTCTATTTGCATAATTACTATCAATGTAAATACTTTGTTATCAGACTTTAATCTATCTGATCTTATCAAATTATCTAACTTATTTGTTATTAATATTCAAAGTTAGGATCAACTGGAAATCATTATCAGAAAAATGTTTTTATAGAAACGTAGATACGTCTGTATTATCTACTGCAAATACTGTTCAGAACTAGAACGCTGAATTCTTGAGAAGATATTCAGTTTTGTATATAAGAATTCTAATAGGTATACTAAACATTTACATCACAAATTCTTTCGATTTTGTCGCTTAGGTCTTGATAATTAACATTCGAACTCAAAGTACACATGAATAAAATTTTGAATCATATTATCTCGTTATCAATATTTCAATATTTCTAGGGTATCTTAACATGAGGCACAAAAATAAAACTAAAACTGCTTCGTCCCATCGTATAACAGTCTCTACAGTTGTGATAACATAAGAAAAGCTAGAACATAAAAAAATGTCCCTAACGAGCAGATTCTATTGAGAAAGTCATTAGTACAATATCTCAAGTTACGCAGCAACTTTTTAGGTGATCTTCGTCAAACTATAGTATTCAATTGAGCAACGTACTAAAATGTGAATAATTCAACGGAAAAGATGAATCAGCATAAATTCTTATAGACTTGCTTTCAACTCAATACAACCTTAGGCAACGAAATAAAATTCATGGCACAGCAATTCATCACTTCCTGAGCTTCTCTGATAAGATAATTAGAGAGAAAAATATCATGCTGCATTTAACTTTTTGTAGCTTTCATACTTCAATCAGATATTCAAGAAATAAAACGAGCTTCTTTTTGTCTGTTATTATAACACCATAGAAGGTTTCGCTAATGGATTTTCTTCATGGCTATATTTAGCACGGACGTTATTATGTGTACCACCCAAGCTACTAAATAACACTGTCAAGAACTAATCTGACCATCGACGTATGTGCCATAGCTTAGACAAGAAAAGCAAACGAGAATGAAAAATAGTTGCGATTTTCTTCTTTTTCCTTGTCTAAGATATATTATATGCTCATATTTCTCGAATCATCGGGCATTACATGTAGCTCGATATAGAACAGAGCCACTGTTCTGGAATAGCTGCATAACTTTGCATGTGTATGGTACTTGTACACGTATCGCAAGGGGAAGAGAGAGAGAAACATAAATATGTGGTCGGTTCTGTTTGTGTATACCCTATATAGATTGTCCGGAGCAAAGAAAAAGAGAAAAACAGGAAATTTGGTTGCATCTTTTTCTCTCTATAAGAGAAGAGAGTAATTACATTTGTGCTGTTTTAGCCTCATATATCCACTTTTCTTTTCTTGCCGCAACAGTAGAACTCTAACGACAGTAAGCTGATACAAAAATATCTTTGTTTTGCTTTGAGTCAGAATATGTATTTTGTTCAGTGTCAAGTGGTTCAGCATTTAGTAATGTACTCAAAGCTAAGGAAGATTTACAAAAGTCTCCTGAACAATTAGAACAAGAAAAACGATCGGTTCTTACTCAACGTATACCAGCATTACAAGTTGATGGAAAATCGAAGGAAGAATTAATAGAAAAGGTTTTATTGATAAATTTTATTGTTGAAATTATTCTTTTTTTTGCGTTTTCTACAGGCAAAACAATTGCATTCACTTCTTCATCAATTACATGGTTCTATCTATGAATTGACAGAACGATTTGAACGACAAAAATACGATGTTAGTGATTGAATACTTTATTTTTTAAATAGATTTAAAGAATTTTATTTAGATGGTTGAATTAACTGAACGTGCCCGTCAAATTGAGAAAGGGTAAGCTAATAGATTAAATTCAATAAATTAATTATTGTCAATTTATTCTAGAAAAGCAAAAACACGTAAATCAAACATTGTTCATACTGGTCTTGGAGGTGGTATGTAAGTATTGAAAAATCTAATTATGAAAACAAAACAAAAATACTTTTGGTATTAATTATTTTCAGTTTTGCTGGTGTCAGTGATGTTACAGCTAAAGCACCGGTTTGGCTTTTTTCTTTGAATCCAATTGTTCTTTTATATATAGAGTTAAAATTTCATTTTAGCAAAAAGTATCACTTTTCAGTCGATACGAACGTGGTAAGTTTTGTTTTTGGCGAAATATAATGATACGATAAGAAGCTTTTATTTAGTTACCGATCGTCGTACGTACAAAGATCGTCGTGATGTTTGGTCCACAGAAAAGAAACAAGCTGAATTCGTTCCTGAACGTCCAAAAGCTAAAATAAGACATAATACACCACCACCTGAAGAAAATCCATTACGTAAAAATAAAGATGCTCCTCATACTAAACCTGACGAACAACATGAAGATGCGGTAAGTTAAAATTAAGAAAGAAAAAAAGATCTTCATGAGAATTATTTTATGTGTTTTTGTTTTTCTTTAGCATGCCGCAGCAGCTGAAGAAGAACCAGCGCCAGCTGAAGAACCACCAGCTGAAGAAGAGCCAGCAGCTGAACAACACGAAGAGGTAGAAGAAGAAGAAGAAGAAGAAGAAGAAGAATAAATCAATAGATTTAATGACAACAATACCTTCTTATCATTTTAATCCTCATTTTTTCAGTCATTTTTCCTTATTATTATAAAATTTTATTTGATATCTAGCAAATAAATAAATAAATTTCTTCTTCAGCGAACATATCTTAATGATCTTCTTTCGATTTATATAAATATGAATTGTGTGTCAAGCAATTTTCAACTCTAGTTTATTTTCATTTTGGTACCGTTTATTTATCACACCATACAGAATATAATATGCACTTATTAAACATATTAAACACATATAAAATAGTTTCAGTGATAAATTCCAAAAACTATGTACGCTGTTGATTCCAACGTGAATTTTTCGACATAGTAGATGTTGGTGATCATTATGATTATTTATGAATAAAATGCATAATTGAATGGTTGAGGATTCATCGAGACTAAAGTTCAATTGTTTGATTTGTAATTCAAACATTGATTCGAAACCTTTCGATTCTTTTCTATATTTATCAATAACAAGAATTGATAATGGCGTTATTTCATAATCAACAGTAAACATTTTCATATCACATGTTAAATTATAATTTGCCACGAAATCAATAGGAAAATCTGTTAGAATTTAATTTAATTGATAAATTCTTCCCATTTGAAATAACAACGAACAATTAGGAATGCTTTTAACGGATAAAATATGGCAGATATTGAAATTAACTTCAATATAAATTAAAAACATAAAAATAAGAATCGACATGCTTATTGAATGTGATGAACTAGACTATACAAATGATAAATCATGCGTATATCATCGATGAACACTTGCTCGGTCAAATTGTATATATATATATTTACAAACAAACAACAAAAGAACGCTTGAGGGTTAATAGATCACTGTTTAAATGTATATTCATATTGAACGGCTCATTTAACTGCTATGGATGAATGTCATAATAATCGAAGTAGATTCGTCACTAAATGAGATGGAAATGTATATGTATTTAGTATGATTCTCCATTGACTTAGGTCCTTCGATGAAAAAACAGATGTATACTTGATGGGTATCATTACATATTTCATTGCCATTACTCCCATTTATTGCCTTGCTTTGCAATACAACATGGAGATATACTAGATAAATGTAATCAATTCTGCTGGTGGAATAGTATCTAATCTATTTTAGATAGCATAGACATGTCTTTTATCGCGTCTCTAAAAGTCAAGGGGGAAACGGCAGACTTGAAGTAGAAAAGTACATCAAAGTACTTTACTTGAAGTAAGCGTAAAGTAGCTTAAAGTAACTCAAAGTAGCTCAAAGTAGTCCAAAGTAGTCCAAAGTAGCTTGAAGTAATTGCAAGTAACTTCAAGTGAATTTGAAGTTGAAAAGTACTTCAAAGTACTCTACTTGAAGTAAGCTTAAAGTAGCGTAAAGTAGCGTAAAGTAGCCTAAAGTAGCGCAAAGTACTTGAAGTACAAAAGTCTGCCGTTTCCCCCTTGCTAAAAGTACTGCACAGCGGTTTGATATATATTTTATTGCCATTCTTATTTTTAAATGAACTTTTTATGTAAAAAAGAGAAAACAACATATTAGAAATCAATATTTTACTGTACACGATTTATAGAAATAGTGAACTTGTAGGTATGTGTAGCTATCAGAGGCGTCCACAGGACACGGCTATATATCCATGCGCTGCAAATTCTGCATATACTTACTGTAGTTCGAAAATAACAGCAATTTTATTTTTCTGGGAAACGTGAAAGAAACTAAAAAATTCAGATGGTGTTATTAAATAGTAAATAGATTGATATAGTTGTGTTTGTGCGAATATGGTGAGGTCCAATTAAAGTCGGAAGAAAAGAAAATAATAAAGGAATCATAATACTGCACATATATTTATAATTGCAATAGTTGCTCATCTTATTATTATTTTAATAAAACAATTAAAAATAAAAATGTACATCGCTAACACCCTCGATAGATTCACGTGCTGATATTTCACCTGTCTCTCCTGGTCTACTGGTGAATTATCAGTGGCGGTGTAAATTCATCACATACCCCTCTTGAATTAGAGGACTAATTTATTATTTGTTAATCATTTATCTATTTCTTGAATTATTTTTCAAATAAGAAAAATAAATAAAACTTGAATTTAAGTATGAAAAAGATGCTTCTTAATTAGCAGGGCAATGCAGGATATGACAATGCAATTGACCCTGTGGATACCCCTGGTATATATATATACAGTGAATTTCATTGCATGAAGTGCCTAATGCGACTTCAACTAAATCGAGACCTGATTAACGGTTTACAATTTGTAAGTAAATGAGAAAAACGATATGATTGTAACAATAATCCAATAGTCAAAGAAAACTTCTACTGAACAATGCGCAGCCTTGTTAAGAAGTAGAAATAGAAATAAATAAAGTTTCATATTTGTAAATTCGAAAGTACTTCGAAAATATGTTTCGACCATAACTTGAACTTCTAGATATATCACGTGAAATGCTACAGGTATTATCAGAAATGCCACAAGCATTAACGGGAATGATGGTGCAAATGACGGAGAGGACCTTGAGGTATTCCGCAGTGTGTGGATGTCCAGGGAGGATTTAAAGGGATTTTGTAGAGTCTGGGTGAAATGGAAAATGGACGGAGTTAATTGCACACACATAACCCACACCATGCTAAATAATGTACACTTAGTCTATTTCTACTTGTCGACAGAGGTGAATCTTCGAATTTATAAATGTGTTGTACGAGGGGTGTCGCTGTCGATGCAAGTATGAATGATGACAATAAACACATGCAGCCACACACCCACACCAGCAGCAACAGAAGAAATGCATTTAAACAATGAGGAAAGATGAAGTTTCTTTGTCACCAATAGATTCGTAGTTAGCATGTGCTTTTAGCATTAATGCCACTGATAACTTATTGCCTATTCGTATGTATTAAAATTAGTCATACGCTCTCTGACATCTCTTTCTTCTGATTGTTTTTTAACAAATACAAATGCATAAGAACGATGAATTTCTCTTGAGGAAACTGTTTATGCGAAGAGCAACAAGTTAATACAATATGCTAAATTTCAGTAACTGTTATAGTTGTATAATTTCGAATGTTGTAATTATCGGACGTAGTATCACTCAGCGTAGCTTTCACTACACGCCAAGTATGAATATTAATATTTAATTCATATTTTTTTAAATTTTAGGATCTTGAACTTGTGTTAATCACAATATTGATGAAAAAGATAAAACAGGAATTCTAACTTAAATCAGAAATATTTTTCCAATACATTTTAATTTACAAAACTGTTATGCTACTGCTTATTTGAAAATCAACTTGATTTATATTTATGTATCTGTAAATAAACTAGAATATATTATAGACAAAAATTGGATACTTTCGCAGGTAGGATATCTAAGATGAGGAAATACTTGAATCCTGACCTAAGATATCCTACGTTAATGCAAATAAATAAAGTTTAAAAGTCGCTATCGTTCTTTTCCCGTTAAGAAAAGATTTCCAAGTATTTAAATAATTATCAATCCATTTATAATATACCTTGTATCATCATCTTGACAAGGTTTGATCCATAAATAAAGAAGCCAAATACAGCCGAGTATGAGAGTAACCATACTAACAAATAATATAATAAGTAAGATACATGTATCGATACAAATCGGCTGCACGATCATAAATACACCCATAGTGTAGTTCATTTTCGAACAAGGTGCATAATTGTTCTCGAAAAGATTCCAACATGGAGAACATTTTTCACATCTTCTAATTGATGATTCTAACATAATTAAAAAAATTTACTCGTATAATCTATTGAAATTACTAACCAGTACTATTAAGATCACTAAAACATAAAGGAATTAATAAAAAGACTATCATATTTAATAATAAGCCATTCATATTTGGTATTAAAAAATATATGCATGGTTATAATATTATATAGATTGTTTTTATCATGAAATATTTGTTGAAAACGTGATTTAATTTCCGTAATGTCGATTATTTTCTTATGAAACTATTCTTGAGAATAATCAGAGAGTTAAATATTTGTAATTAACTTAAACTATATTCTAAATTCATTTCAAATCTTTGAACATTTACACTAAAACTAATTTATACATATGTATATATATTATTAATTAATATTAAAAAGAATCTTATAGACAAATAGCGACATCTATTGTAAAGCATAGTCATCGTTCCACAATAAATCTATATTTTATGGACAAGTAACATAACCAAACACACATTGACGATCATACATGTTTGCTTGATTATTTCAGAAAAAGACTAGTGATTCGACTAATTAGCAATATTTTCTTGCTTAGATATATTGTATGGCACTCATTCGCTATTCTCTACATTTATCTCGATTCGTTTTCCCCTCTATTATTTCAAATCGAGGAGTTGCAACTGCACCAGCACCAGCATCATCTGCTGTCGAACATACAACAAATGATACACAGGAGAAAAATGTTTTAGCGAATACATCACCATATAAAAATGCTCCGAGCAAATTTTATGGTGATAGTAACGTCGAAGTCGCTTTGGCTCGTTTGGATGATGTACAAAATTTAATTCGTCGTGGTTCTATTTGGCCACTGACATTCGGTCTTGCTTGTTGTGCCGTTGAAATGATGCAAATGGCTGCTCCGCGGTAATTGTTTTCTATTTTGTAAATTTATTTATATTTTAACTTCTGCCAGTTATGATATGGATCGATTTGGTGTCGTCTTTCGTGCTAGTCCACGTCAATGTGATCTTATGATTGTTGCTGGTACACTCACTAATAAAATGGCTCCAGGTAAATAGAAATATCTTATTTATTCATATTGCAAATATATATGTACGCAATTGTTTGATTGAAAAGTTATTTGATTTATCATTCTATAAACAGAAAGCTTGAGTTTTTTTTGGAGATACTTTCCCTCGAGAAATACAGAGTTGCTTTTATCCTTCAATTTTGATATTCCAGGAAAGAACGAATTTTCCTCTTAACTCTCATATATTGATTTTTCTAGCTATTCGACGTCTCTATGAGCAAATGCCTCATCCTAAATGGGTTATTTCTATGGGCTCATGTGCGAATGGTGGTGGTTATTATCATTATTCATATGCAGTGGTTTGTTAAAAATACTTCTTTTTTCTCTGAGAGATAAATTTCGAGAAAGTATTTTTTTTAATAGGTACGTGGATGTGATCGTATAATACCGGTTGATATTTATGTTCCTGGCTGTCCACCAAGTGCTGAAGCATTACTCTATGGTGTTTTACAATTACAAAGAAAGATAAAACGATATGATACATTACAAAAATGGTATCGAAAATAAATGAACTAGATAACCAATTCTTTCCTATGAGACTGATTTTGCAGTTTTTTGACTCTGATACTCACTATGTTATTTTTCTGATCAGCATTGTTTTCTTTGTCATTTGTGGAAGAACGAATGTAAATACAACTATTTGTATGCACTTTTCATCTTATGGAATGAATCGTAATATGTCTAATTCAAAAAACTAAATTTATTTATAAATAATCACAGAAGTCTTTAATCTTAACCAGAGATGTATCTTTATCAATAGGGTAAACGTACTAAACGCTACAACATGATAGAAGTTTTTCTATATGCTGATAGCAATTGCATTGATAGTGTAGTTGAAATAAAAGAAAACGATTTGTAGAAGTATATACAACAAACAATAACTAAGAAAGAAGAATAATGCTCCTATAAAATCTCAGCAGTGTTCAGACTTACAAAAAAGGAAATTTTGGAAGTTTTACAAATTTCAAGTACTTGTGTTCTAAATTGTTTGGTACTTCCCAAAATTATACAATTTCCGAAATTTCTGAAATTTCCAAAATTCTGTGCAAAGCGAAATTTCCGAAATTACAGAAGATTCCGAAATTTCTAAACTTTCAAATATTTNAAAACATTAAAATATTTTTTGCGCTTAAAAAGTTTAATTTATCGAAACAACGTTCGGAGAAAATTTTCATTTAAAAATACGGAATCATGCTCGATGAATAACTATTCTTCAGCCGTAAATTTGGTTTCTATATGTTTCTTTTTTGCTCCAACAACTAATGATAAGTCAGTAAGTAGATTTGATTGATGATGATGATCACATTTGCCTCCGTATAAATAAACATCATTTTCATCCATGTAAACTACCATTTGAGCATCCACTAACAATACAAATTCAATATTTTTACGGGCCGTCTTCTTATTACATTTGTATAATTGTTCGTTCATAACTAATAGTGGGTGACCTTTGTTTGATGTAATGAAGGATAAGTTTTCATTTTCATCAAAACTTGAATTCGGAGAAATCGACATACTGTTTATCAAATTTTTACTCTTGAATATTTTTTCTATAATCCTTACGACAAAGGCGTCTCTGTTAAATTTTAGCCGACAAAGACGTGAATTCAAGTTAAGAAATGAATGGGTAACGTAATCAGCCAATAAATATAATCACAATATAAATGTATCTACGAATCGTTTGATACAACTATTTCCGTTGTTTTTATTCTTAGAAAACTTCCTGTCGACATTTGTCTCGTTCGATATATCTACTTTCTACTTTCGACATTTTTACCTTTCGACCAAAGTAGAGTAAACCCTCTTAGGGGTGTCGCGTTCGCGTTCCTTTCCTGAGAACGGGAACGCTAACTGAGCTCCCGTTCTTGGGAACGGGTACGGAAAATTTTTATGAAATAAAATGATAAAGAATAATAAATAAAAACTTCGAGTCATTTAGAATCTCTTTAAAATCGCAGCTTGCGATGCGTTTCCGTTCCCAGGAACGGAAAGCTCTGACACCCCTAATACCTCTTTGGAGTGAAGCCATGTAGACGAAAAAGCTTCACTAGTCTCAATCGCTGGATTTTTGGTCGCTGATCAGTCTGAAGGGTCTCATATCTTAGATAGTCAAGAAACTCTGGCAGTCAAAATTGTTATGTTAGTAGACTAGGTGTACAGCTACAAGAATCTGCATAACTTGTTCGAGAAAAAAAGATGAAGTGAATTCCTCATTCGTTCACTCAAAAGGATGGCATACTTGAAATCAGCATTAAAAAACTCAGCCCTGCTCTTCCTGTGGGTGAGGACAAAAACTGAAAGCTATCAAAATGCGAAATTCAGATTCTGTTGTCGAATGAGAGGCTTCTCTAGGGATCTTCAGCGATTCAGAGAAGTTTTCAAGTGAGCGATATCAAATTGGCGTTGACGTATTTGCAAACACGAGAGAGTATGTTCGCGGAGTCAACATTTCTTCCATCGGCAGAAAGGATAGTATGCAAAAACCATAATATTCATTGTTATGTTCGTACATCTGATAAATGTTGTTCAATTTTTTCACCTGTTATTCAGAGTATTTCTGCTAGAGAAAGAACTGTACGACCCATGTCTATATAGGAAAGTGAGCTGTCTCAATCTATGCTTTAGCTTTGATCAACAATGGCTTTTTCATAAGTTTGTCCTATGATATCATCCGCTGCCAACATCCTTAAGATACGATAATGACGAAAATGAGAACATGAAGTAGTTATGTCTGATTTTTTTGAAATTTTATGAAAGCTAATTAATTGGCAGGTCTCTAAAAGGTAACACCTCTTGTGTGTAGTGAAATATCTTTTGCAAATGTGAAGCATACTTGGGGTGGTGGTTGTTGTTGTCGTGGAAGTTGTAGAAGTCGTCGTAGTGGTTGTTGATGTAGTTGTGATGGCAGTTGTTGTTGTTGTTGTTGTCGTCGTTGTCGTGGTAGTTGTTGTTGTTGTTGACGTTGTGATGGTAGTTGTTGTTGACATTGTGGTAGTAGTTGTTGTTGTGGTGGTCGTCGTTGTGGTCGTAGTTGAGGTAGTTGAAGTACTTGTTGTAGTTGTCGCTACCATAATATTTCAAAGTTAGCGTCTCAAACAAATTTTTCAAGATACGTATCAAGGCTGAATAGGAAACACAAGCTCAACTATTCAGAAGAATATAAAGCATTCTCATTGTCAGTAAATTTATCTATAGAATTTAGCGACGATTATATACATCCGAGAGATGAAATCGCTAAACTATCTTTTGTGAAACACGACATGAAATGAGTGTTGAAGTATAAAGCGAGAAATTCAGACCCACGTATTGTGAGATACATCACCAGAGTGCCGTCATGGGTTGTAGCAAAAGGTACAAAGGTGTGTACGTAGAGGGGGAGGCTACTGTCTGAGAGATTTATCTACGTAGTGGTTTCTGATTCAAGAGCTCAAATATGCCATGAACCGAGAGAGACATCCTAGTAGAATTGGCCACTCTTGTTCAAGATATCAATAGATTCATCCTGTTTCACATTTGAATCTTGTAGAGTTGCCGCTAACAGCTTTTCTATCAGTTTTGCCTAGTTTGCAAGACAACTGTATATATAATGGGCGCTGCAAAAATTCTGTATTGATTTTGTTTTTCATGTAACACTAGGATGGAATGTTACAGAGATGTTATCTGTTTTTTTTTTATTAGAAAGAGCAGTGTCTAGTGCAAAAAATCCAAATGAATATCATTGAAAATGTTTGATCGAGACTACATAAACTTTAGAACAGAAGCCATCGAATAACGATTCCGCAACATTGGCGAGAATTTGGAAAAAATTTCATTTAATCATGCCACTCTTATTTTCATTGTTCTTATACGAGTTTTACCAAGTACGGGTAGTAAAGTCTTGTAATGCAAAAACTAAAATTCTTTTCATTTTTAAAATAACTGAAAATAACTCGTTAACCATATCGTAAGATGTCTACATGCTTCATTACTCTCGATTACGGTTGAAAAAATAAATTCCATTTAGGCAGTGAGATTACCAGAAACTATATAATTCATGCGAAAATATATGCTTGACTAGTCCTCTTTCGCATGATATTATTTGAAATAAGGCACGGATTTTCTGCACGATTTACAGCCAAACATTTGTTTCCGCGTTGTGAACCCTAAATCCGAAAAATAAACGTTTTTATTGGTATTCTCTTCTGTTAATTCTCTTATATGCTAGATCAATCATTTTAATACCAAAGGAAAGTGTTTTTCTTAATAAGCAGCTATACATGCAAGAGTCGCAAAACGTACCACATGGCAATGAAGAAAAAGTTCAAACAAATATGTATGGATTGCAAGATTCTCACCAAAGTTGCAGAATCGTTTTTCAATGGTTTCTGCTCTAAATTTTTTGTAGCCTCTATCAAAATTTTCAGTGTTGTTCATTTGCTTATTTTGGTATTAGACACTTTTCTCTTTATAATAAAAATAAAAAAAGGCAAAATCTCGGTAAAATTTCACCACAGCGATACATAAAAAATTAATTAATGCAAAGCTTTTGCACCACCCGCTATATATATAATCGATATGCCAGAATAAATAAGTATTTTTTATTTCTTCAATAACTTCACCAGTTCTGATCCGATCAGATCAAACATTGTTTTTATTAGAATCCCCGTTCCACGCTCTGTAAAACTATATGCGAATGATTTTTCTAGAGCGATGCATGACCAGAATAACAGATCAGAAGCTCAAGACGTACAAGAGTGTCTACTGTCAAAGGCACATTATTGGAGTTTTCTTTGGCGTTCTGGACATGTAAAATTGCACCTCGTTTTACAGTTTACTCATGTTACAGTACTTTGAAGTGTGCTCTTTTCGACACGGTCCAAAAACGTCTGTCTAACTAACAACCGACGGCATAAAACCAAGTTTCATTCAAAAAAGCAGCCAATGCTCTAAAAAAAAGGTGTCATATGGTACTATTTAGGGTTCTAGAGGGTGTGGGTTGTGGATGTGGTGGTTGCCATAAGTGTGAGTTTGGAGGTTAGTATGGGTGCACTGAATTCCGGAACCGTTGCGGATTAGGCGGAATCCGTAGGAATTCCCTGGAATTCCGGAATTGTGTTGGAAGTGATAAACGAAATTCCGGGAACTAGATGGAATCGATTCCGTGAGTGGAACTGGTTCCAGAATGTTCAACATTGCGGAATAGGATGTATTCTCCATTTCTGAACGTTTCCAATGATTTCTGCTGGTTTGCAACGATCATATAAAAACTGATTTCCAGTGATACAAATCAGCGAAAATCACTAGAAATCACTGGAAATCAAGAAATCAGTTTGTTCCCCCTTGCTCACAACCATACAAAGGACTATTGATTTAACCAAGTTGGTGTCGGCTGAAATTTTGAGAGTTGCAGGTGGTGCGACCGAGAAACTCTTCAAGAAAATTTTCAAGTTGATGCAGTAAAATAGAACAAAATTCAGCGTTAGCCATGTGAGTAGATTCCAAGGGGGGGGGGGGGCGGCGGCGTTCG